TATCAGAAATTCTAGATCAGTCTGATGATAAAGAGAGTGTATTACCGAAGAGGATATGTGTCTAAGCTGAACTTCTAACTCGTAAATCGTTCAGCATTTTTTTCAAATTAGGAATTGCGAAAATCCACCATAAAATCAAATCAAATGGCTGCAGTATAAACCATGCAGCGGACCGTATGGAAATTTAAATCACTATGCAAAATTTAATATCTTTAATCAGAATCAAAATGCTCAACTCACAGGGAAAATATCTGCTTGGAAAATACATTTTATTGGATATCGGGTATATCGGGGTAGGTAGAGGAAAAGCGGCGGGACTCTAAATTGTATGTGATAAACAGACGGGATTAAGTCAATTTATAGACAAGCTCAGTAAGTTACATCGAGAAAAAATGTAAGTATTTTTTCAGATTTAGATATAGCTCAACCGATTTCGGCTTAATTGTGCACCAAATGGTCAATACAAGTCCAAATGGCCTGAACTTTGGCACATCTATCCGAAGTGAGTCCAGAAGCAAATACATCAAATTTGGTGAAAATCGATTCAGGTATAGCTTCTATATATATATTTCATCCGATTTGGTGTTTAAGTCCCTCACATTCGTAATATGCATTCGACAACAATTATATTTGGTAACAGATACAGCCCAGAAATACCTCTGCCAAATTTTATGAAAATCTGTTCAGATTTGGATATACCTTCCATATATATCTTCAACCAATTTTTTACTAATTGTACACCAAATGGTTAATATCAGCCCAAATGGACTGCATTTTGGCACATGCGATTGAATTCACTCTAGAAAAAAGTACTTCAAATTTTTATGAAAATCGGTTTCATTCGATTTAGAGTTTTCAGTCTCTCGCATGCGTAAAATGCACTACACAACAATGATTTTCGGCGCCAGATATCAGACACAGTTCAGAAATAAGTCGATTTGTCGATAGAGGTTCTGGTTTGGATTTAGCTCCCATATATAGGGTGTGATGAAAAAACTGCAACTAATTTCAGACTGCTGTCATTTCAAAGCCATTCGTCTGACAGCTGTTAAAATTATTCCAGTGACAGCTCATTATATTGCTTACAAGCGCACTAAAGCATTTTGGTGAGAATTTTCAAGAAAACAAGTTATTTGTGATGGAATTCAAGCGTGATAGTGTGATTTCTTTATATTTGGCTGGAAAACCACAAGTGGTTATCGTTAGAGCACTCCAGCATTTAAGTGTGACTAAATCTTTTGCGTCTCGTACCATCGCACGTTATCGTGATACTGGTAGCATAGCCCGACATCAAGGATGTGGACGGAAGAAAACAGCAACATCAGCAGGAATGGTTCGAAAAGTAAAGCAGCGACTTGATCGAAACCCGCATTGCAATGGCCGAAAAATGGCACGTGAACTGAACATATCGCATTATTCCTTTCGGCAAAGATTGAAAAATGAGCTCGGGGTAAAGCCATAGATATTCCAAAAAGTGCAAGAATTTACGCCGCAACAGAAAGAAAATCGACTCAAAAGAGCAAAAGAGTTGCTTCGCTTCGCCGAAAGTGGTGTACTGCCTGATTTGGTTTTCTCCGTTGAGAAAACATTCGTTGTCCAGCAGTTTGTAAACAAATAAAATGATCGTGTTTACTTGCCAAAGAGGTCAGCTGAAAATGTGCACCTTCGGTTGGCCAGCAGAACTCAAGCGCCGGCCATGATGATGGTGTGGGCCGCCATAACAGCCGATGGTTGCTCTCCGCTCGTATTAATCGACATCAGAATAAATGCCGAATATTATCGCGAAAATATTCTGGAGGGTGTATTAAAGCCTTGGGCACGCAAATATTTTGGCCGCAGACCTTGACCTTCGAACAGGTCTCAGCACCATCGCACTCAGCATGCGCCACCCAATAATGGTTACAAAATGAGGTTCCTAACTTCATTTCCAGCGCACAATGGCCACCAAAATCTCCGGATACCAATCCGCTGAACTATTGTGTCTGGAGTATTTTGGAAAGCAAGGTTGACACTAAAAACTACCAATTTGTTGATCACCTCAACCAAGCGCTTCGCCGGGAATGGTCTAAATTATCACAGAGCAACATTTGGGCAGCGTGTAACGGTTTCATTGGGCGTTTAAAGGCTATAATTCGTGCCAAAGGTAACCAATTCGAACAAATCTAAACTTATTCAAGAATTTGATGCTATTTTCGACATTTTTTGCTTTCATTCAATACAATTTTAAAAAAATTGTAAAAATTAAGGCGTTTGACTGTGTTGCAGTTTTTTTAACTCACCCTGTAGTGCCTGTTACAGACCTCAATCAGAAAACTTGTCTAGGATCATGAAAATACCACATATCGGAAGTTCAGCTTAATAGAGCATTTAGGGAAACATATCTATATAAGCTGTTCTATCACAGGAAATAGTGCTCTGGAAGGTAGGAAGAACAAATACCACATCTCTAGAAAATTCCACTGGAAAATGTGAATTTGATATTCCTAGTAGATAGCATCTCCCCCAACAAAATAATTTTAATATCAGCCTATATATTTTGGTATAAGCCTTATATTGCGGAACCAGTCGATTTTGAGTGATTTGAAAGGGTTCGAAGTTATCCTAATACTCGCATTGTACAGCCAAGTTTTTGAAAAGTCCACTCACTATCCAGTTATAATTTACTTTTCCCCATGCTAGAACATATGAAAGTTTGGTGTGTCCGATCGTAACACTAAGCGTAATTTTTTCAATTTTGAGTTGGAAGTAGAACCAGAACCACATTAGTAGGACAAGTGCCACAAGATATATGCTATCCGAAATAACTGATTGTTACTTGACCACATTTAAACTGGTTACAAATTAACTCTTGGATGGTACTGTACTGCACCTTTCACAAGCTTCAGCTCTGGAGTCGGACGCATTCACTCTGTGCCTGCGTTACTCATTACTTGGTCATGAGGAATTAAGTTATTTTGCTTTGTATTGTTCAACCCACTGGAGGGAAATGTGTTTAGATTTTCATATTAATAGGTTATCCTGCCCATGCATCTCCCAAGTTGTTGGTGGGTTGTAAAGCCTATCTCTTGTGGAGGCCCTTAAACGACTTTATAAGCGATTTTAGTTGTGTTCGTATTTAATTAAAGTTCAATTTAACAACAAACCTAAATATTAAGCACCTCAAGATTCATGTCTTAATTAGACCTGAATGGACTTGAACTTATCTGCACTCGAGATAAGAGATGTTTGCACAAGTAAATTAGAGATACGAAAACAAAAACAAAAATCCAACAAGGACAAGAGCTGCATAACCGAAAAAATTCCATAAAAACTAATGCAACGAGGCATTTAATATGTTTGGCAATACTGCAGTGAAGTGTTTGCTTAATAGTATCCTTATTCCAGGCGAGTATGTGCAAGGACAAGTGTTCCGAGGAGTATAACATTGTTTTACAGGAATGTCAGTACAAAAACAAAATAAAAGGAAAAACAATTCAGGAATAAAATAAAGACAAAGCAGAACAACACTTGAAGAAAATAAACTTAATGTTTAACAAGAACTGAGAGAGATAGGGAGGGAGAGAGAGCAAAGAAAACTACAATCGAACCAGGAAAAAGTGCCTTGGAAATAAAAACAAATGGTTAGTTGTGCAGCCCAAGAACTTGCCGAAACATTAAAACATGGAATAATATTTGGTGTTGCATAGCCTCAAAAAAGACGATGAAGCCACACACACACTCATGTGAGTTTATACTTATGTATATCTCTTCAATATTACAATCTATGATGGCGCATTTGGTTTGGCATTAGAGGTAATGTTTAGAAGGTGCAGACGGCGGAGGGGACTTGAGGTTCAAACAAAAAGCGGAAGTTTGCCGCATGCAGTCAAACACATGAAGAAAATAAACAAAACATAAAGAGGAACTTTATTTTCCAGTTCTGCTGCAGCAGCAGCAGAGTTCGTTCAGGGCACAGCCAACAGGAACTACGTCAATAGTTTTTATGTATGGAGGTCCTGCTGAATGACTGCTCTTCCCTGCCTCCCCTCCTGTCAGTATGCATGTAAGGATATTAAAAATGCGATCTGTTTTTCATATAAATGCAATTGTCTGCCAATGTGTGTGTGAATGTGTCTGTGTGTAAGTTTGTATACTTCTGTGATTCCTTCCTACTTTATCCTGTAAAAGTGTCTATATTTGCTTGTTTTTATATTAGAGTTTTCAAACAGAGTTTTGGCCAAAGAATGCCTGAGGCAGTTGGTGTTTTAAGTTTCGTGTGTTCTTTTTTTTCGTTTCCACTGCTGGGTCCCTCTGAAGTTCATCCTCTAATTTTTCTTCATCAAATTTGTTTTTGATTTCTTTCGGTTTTTTTCTCTCTCTCACTCTCTGTTGCCAGTACTTTTCAAACATTTTATTTTTGTTAGATTCCCTTCCTTCTGTTGTAGATTTTATTTGTTACAGAATATTGGCTGTTTGTGGGGCGTAACTAAGTTTGAGTGCGAGTGTGAGTGTGTGTGTGTGTGTGCCAACAACAATAGTTACTTTAGTCCTAAATATGCCAGGATGCTTTCAGCTGGCTTTTGTAAATTTCAAATTAACTTTGTTGCAGCATTTCTTAAGGCTTTCTTTTTGTCAAGAATCAAAATGGAGAAGGCAAAAAAAAAAATCCAAATTAACTTTTGATGAAGCAATGAGGCCCTAGACGTGTTTCCTCATTCTAATGAAGAACTGCAGTCTGCAGTCGGGGCAAGTCGAGCAGATATTAAGTTTAAAATTGTTGTTTCTTTACAAAATCTTTGTTTAATTTTACAAAAATCTTTTTTCAATGGTTTTCCAAACTAAAAGTGGAGTTTTTGAAATACGTGTCTTTTACCTGATCGTCTTCATTCGAAAGTAATGTAAATATTGGAAAAATTTAAGTTTTTTGTTGGAAAATTGATTTATGTGAGGTGTTGGGAAATTTTACTCTTTGCTTAATTTTCGATTTGAAGGACTACTGAAGTTTTGTTACGAAAACTTACCTTGATGCACCATAAAATCTGAAAGTGAAACAAATAGGGAGAATTATTTTAAGTTTGTCGAGAATACAAAAAGAAGGGGGAGGTATGCAACTTAGGGACAAGAAAAGTAGTATTAAACCTTAAAGACTTTCAATATTTGGAGAATCTATAAATTGAAATCTTACCACTGAGTTTTTGTTCTGCAATTTGTAAAGTTAGCTTCGTATAATATTTTGAACTAAAAAATTCAAAGCTCTACTGACTGAGCCACCCAGGCCCCATGATATTTTGTAAATGAAGAAGTAAATATAAATATTTTTTTTTGAAAAATACCGCCCAATGTCTATGTGTTACATGAACGCAAGTTCATCGGGGTAAAAGGATATCGGTCTGAGTAGCTAGAGTATTTCAACGGTGCCGAGTCGATGACTGAACATCTGAAAATGTCACTGAGCTTTGTTGGAAATATGAGGAAATTAAAATCGTAAACAAATTCGAAGATATCGAAGAGCCTTAGGTCAAAGCCTATATTTGATTCATCCTAAAGAATCTGAGCTAGTGTAGGATCATGGAATTAACACAACAGTTCAAACGGAAAGACCTCAGACACTTTTTGAGAGAGATCATTTCGTTAAGTTATGTTGGGCTCCTGATCCTGGTGTTATCATAGGTACCAAAGTCTTTGTTCCTCAATTTTCAGAAAAAAACGTCTGAAGCTGCAATCTTTAAATTTCGCATGTCATTGATGTAGAAGTGAGCCTTTAGATATGGTGGTTGGAATTTCCTTCTAAAACGGTACCATTAAAAGTGTGTGTGAGGCTAAGTCTGTATTTTTAGAATTTTTGCCAAAGTTGTTGATCAGCCGCACAATAACTCTCGAAGGGAGTATCTGATTTGATCTAAACTTGGTACATCGTAATATTTTTGTCAAACTTAGATCGAGTTCCGAGATGGGCAGTATCGGTCCACTCCATTTGGTACCTCCCCCACAAAGGGTCGATTTAAAAAAAAAAAGAGAAGGGATAATCCTACTATTTGCATCAGAGCTAGGTCAGGTGCGTACCCCCACAACGGTCTGCTGTGTAGATGGAATATATCGGTCCACTCCGTCTGGTACCTCCCCCACAAAGGTTTAAAATTTTAAATACCTATGAAGCAAATAAAACGCGAATTTAACATCCGATTCCATTTAGACTTGATATATCTCAATATTTCTGTCAACACAAGATCTTTTATAAAGGTGGTGCCGCCCCCACAATGGGTCAAAATTGTGTATAATTATAACTCTTATAAAATTCTATAAACTCTATAAAATTTTACACATCCCATTTTTCCTACTAACGCAAAACCTGGTGTGAGGATGGAATATATCGGTCTACTTCTTCTGGTACTTCCCCCACAAAGTGTCAAAATTTTTAATAATTATAACTCTTATAAAATGTGATATTGTCTTCAATTTGCACACATCACAAAATTTTTATAAACCCAAGGTCTGGTGTGAAGAAGGAATATATCGTACCAAATGATACCCTCTATATCGATTGATACGGCCAAAACGTGTCCCATCAAAACAATTTTAGACCTTAATTAAAAAAAAAAAATTGGACCAAATCCGATTCAGGACATTTTGATCTAGGTTTGTCCGTCCGTCTGTCTGTCTGGCTAGTCCTCACGATAACCCTTGAAGGGAGTATCGGAATTGGTCGAAACCTGACACATCGTAATACCATCGTGAAACTCAGATCGAGTTCAGAGATGGGCTCTTTTGGACAACTTCTTCTTGTACCTTCTCACAAAAGGTAAATAATTTAGCGTATAGAAGAAAAAAGGATCATCCAATTTCGTGCGAACTTTAGAAATCCAAATTTTTGCATTGGTGCTATGTCTGATGGGAAAATGGACGATATCGACCCACTTCATCGTGTACCTCCCACACAAAGTGTCAAATTTTATAAAATAAAAATATGGTATGGTATGATTGTCTTCAACTATCGCACATATCAATATTTTTACCTACGCAATATCTGGTATGAAGAGCAGATAGAGCGGTCCACTTACTTTGATACCTCCCCCTATATATGTCTATATAGGTCCACGATATCGGATAGCCCCCATACAGCGGTACACCCGATATTCGCTATTTTGATGATTTTAGAGAAATAATTCACCGGAATTGTTTCAAATTTGGTATTAAAAGTTCGTAATGGGTACTACAACCTATGATGCATCGTGTATGTAGGCCCACGTCTTCCTATAGCCCCATATAACAATACCTCCCAATATTCGGTATTTTGGTAATTGTAGGGGCTTATTCATCGGAATTGTTACAAATTTCGTATTTAATGTTCGAAATGGGAACTGCAACCTATGATGGAAAATTTCCCATCTAGGTCCACGCCTTCATTTAGCCAACAACGACGCCTCCCTTTATTCGGTATTTTGATGATATTGCCATTTTTTCGCAAAATAGTTTTAAAGTTTGTAATGGGTACTACAGGCTTTGACAAAACATTGCTTATGCAGAACCACGTCTTGGTAAAGCCCCTTCGATATTTTCGAAGAATTTTTTTTTAATTTTTCAAGTTTTATCCAAATGCTGGAGGGTATTTAAATTTTGGCATGCCCGATCTTAGCTGCTTTTTTATTTCGTACATGTTTAATTTAGATTCTATTCGGAAGTTACAAGAATGAGTGGATGAATATTGTTCACAAGGGTGTCCCAACTAGAACACAAACGAGAAATAGGAAATCGGCATCGTGAAATGATAATCAGTTTTTCTTGCCTAGAATTGAAGAAATGAATGTGGAGGGCATGTGGTTTCAACAGAGCGACGTAACTGTCATACAGCCAGAGAAACGATTCAATTGCTACATTATTCTTTTCCCGAACGTGTTATTTCGCAAGACTAGAATTGGACGCCAAGATCGTGCGATTTAACACCTTTAGATTTTTCTCTTTGGGGTTCTTTGAAGTCGATGATTTACGCGATACCTTTATAAGAATATGTAAACTTTTGACAGAATTCGAGATTCCTGACTACATTCAAATGAAGTCCCGCCTTATTAAGCAAGTTATGGTTTGTCAGTGAATACAAATTTTCTCTGCACACAGTAGGAAGCACTGGTACTATTGATTTAACCAGATCGCCTTGACAACTTGTCGAGCAGTTTTTATTATTTCAAGTAGTTCTAATTATATAATCCTGTAAGTGGAATCTTCAATTTGCGTTTTTAAACACAATAACCCCAGGGCAATACGGCTTGAAATAGTTTGAATATTCCAATATTTTAAATAGAAACCCAATTTACAATGAAGTTTGAGTTTTCCAATTTTCTCCATATATAAATCACATCTTACTGAAATATGTTTCAATGTGTAGGTCACCCTCATCGTTGAATTCAAATTTCATGAGCGACTTTTAAAGAGGTACAATAAATTAAGCTTCTGATAGGCTACTAAATTTAGGCTCTAACTTTTTATGTTTGCCAAACCAAAAGTAACTCTACCCCACCATTTTATAAACGTTATATTTCCACAAAAATAAATAAGAAATTAATTTAAATTAGGCACTCCACTTCTTTAACCATACATGCCTACCAACATTACTTCTACTCTTAAATAGATCCTCTAAATTATTACCAAGACTTCTTTTACTCCAACACAAAAACATTTGAAACCCCTTCCTTCTCGACATCCTAGTAAATTAATTTATTCGAAACAATTATGAAACGGCACACTCACAACCATTTCTTTGTCGTTGACAAACAATGTAAATGAGACGATTTCAATTTAAATGTTTACTAAGTCAAATAATTGAATATTTTATGAAAATAAACTTTTGTGAAATATTTTTTTCTGACAAAAAAATTAACAGCAATACAAAACTCCGACGACACAACTCACGCTGAGCTGAGCAGAACAGAAATCATGATAACAGAGCAATATTAAGATGCCAACGACACCGATGCTGGATACCATCTCCTATGACTTACTAGAAAGGGTAATGTGGAGGGAAACAGAGAAATGAAACCCAGAATTTTATCCTTTTGGTAAGAAGTAAAGTTTACATAAATATTTATATAACTAAAAAGTATAACTTCAGAATCCCATCTCATGTTGTCTTGAGAAATGTGATTGTGTGTGTGTGTTACAGTTAAAAACAAGTGAGTGATTTTGACTGCTAGGGTGTGAATGGCTTATAGGCAACCAAACACACTCACACAAAATGTAGTTATGTGTGTGCATATCCTAGTGGCAATTCTTTTTTAGACCTTGTGCTCCTCCGCATATGAGTGTCAACGTTACCCGGCCTTCTCGGTACAGTTTTTTTTGCCTTTTTTAATTAAGCATTCTTAACGCTTGTTCGCCTACGCAAATACTTGCGCTCGAACAAATCTTTAGCAAACAGCATTATTTGCATAAACTTTTTCTGTGCTCAACAGAGTTCAGAGATTTCAGATTTTCACACGCACATCCTTGTTCACATTCACACCAAAAAAAACACAAAAACTGCATATCCTTAGAGCAATCCATGGGTTCCATGGTCGGAAAAAGGCTAAAGGACTCAAAACAAAGATTTACGCCTTCATTCATTCAAGATGCATCTTAAGCCAGAACAAAGCGCAAAAACGAAACTAAGAAGACAAGCGAGCATAGATGCAAAAAGAGAAAAAAATCCGTAGAAGTAAAAATTATGTTCGGTGTGTTCACAAGAAATTGCCCAGATCTATGAAATGCTGTGAACACATGTAGAATTACATGTCGTACAACACCCACAAAATGCAACACTCACATTGTTGCCGACGACAACACCAATCTACACCATGATGCGGCCATACGGATAACAAAGCAGGAGAAGCAGAAAAAGAAGAAAACACCAACAACCCGACAAAAAAGCCCCGACAATGCTGAATAACACTTCATGTTACCCTTTTTTCACCCTAGCCCAATAATAACATTGTTGTCCCTTGGGGGGAAAATGCTTTAAAATTTTCCTCAACAATGAAATCTTTGGGAAAAGGATAGCGAGGAAGGCATA